TGTGTGTGTGTGTGTGTGTGTGTGTGTGTGTGTGTGTGTGTGTGTGTGTGTGTGTGTGTGTGTGTGTTTTCACTAACCCTGGCAGATCCTTTGGCCATTGTTATAGTATCCAAGGGGACATTTGGGGGCACAGAGTCCAGATGGCAAGAGAACGCCGTTGGCAGGGCAGGAAGTACAAGAGAGCGGCCCAGCCCCACTGCAGGCCTCGCATGATGGATGGCATTCTGGGAAAAAAAACGTCACCTTTTATGGACATGCAGGGACATAGAAATATAACCTAAGTTCCCAAAAAGCTGGCAGACCGTGTTAAATGTAAATAAGAACAGAATGCAATGATTTGAGATTTTACTCGTGGTTTAACATTGAAAACATATCAAATATTTAAAATGAGCCATTTTATTACTTTGTGAAAAATACTGGCCAACTTAGATTTTGATGGCAGGAACATGTTGGGATGCGGGCAACAAAAGGCTGTAAACAGCTCTAAAAACAGGAAGTAGACGTGCTGTCTGTGTTTGTTTGTGTCTATCCCAGCATCACCTCGACATCCTTGACGTTTGTTTCGTTCCAAGTTCTATGGAATTTCTATGCTGCTAATTAAACCCTCCATGTCAAAGGTTTTAATCCAGCGTGCCTTTATGATTTCTAAACTTCATCTTTTCCTCCGTCTGCCATGCGCCCTCCATACCGCCAGCTCGACAGTCTTTGCTTCTCTGTTCATTCAGCCTCAAGCCTTTATGTTCCAGTCCAACTATCCCCAGACTCTCCATTCACTGTAAAACCCGGCTTAATCGGCCTTCAAATTCCTCTATTTCTACTGAAAATATTGTATTTTGCACAACTCTGTTGCTTGTGAAGCTCGCACACAAGAATTTCACTCACATGTGCTGTACCAATGTACCTGCACATGTGATGTGACAATAAAAGTGATTTGATTTGATTTGATTTGAAAAAATAAAATCATTTTTAATAAAATAGAAACTTTTGGCTTTCTATTTAGACTTTCTCAAACCTGTAAACTTGTAAGAACTTTCAAAAAAGATAATCTGATATGTTGGAGAAGATATCAGAAAGACACTGATCCAAAAGGATGGATTGTGACAATAAACGTAGTCCTTTGTTGTTCTGTGTTTACTTCCTTAAACGTTAAACATGACCCTGTAGTGAGAATAAAGTCATTTTAGTAGCTTTGACTGTTAAAGAATTGCAATACAAGAAAAACTCAGATGGAAAAGGTTTTTTTAAGCTATAAATCCTCTTTGAAGTTCTCAAAAACAGATGGACACAACACTGAATCATCGGTTTCTTGACGACAAAAGGCGGCACAGTGGTTCAGCTGTTAGCTGTTGCCTTGCAGCAAGAAGGCCCAGAGTTCAAATCTGAGGACGGCCCGGTGCTGTGTTTTGTTTTGAAGTGTGCATGTTCTCTCCAGGTACTCCCTCAGTCCAACAACATCAATGTGAATCCTTATCTGTCTCTATGTGTTAGCCCAGCTCCCCCAGTAACTCTGAACTGAGTAAGCGGCTGAGCGAAGGGAAGGATGGAAAAAGTCTTTTCCAACCCAAACTGTTGAGTTAAAGAATATTAACTTATCTAATAAGTGTATCGCGTTATTATCAAGGATACAGTCACTCAGAGTCATCTGCTCCTCATCCTTAGACACTGCACAGCCAGCACCACACACTGCTCATCTAAGCACACTAACCACGGCATAAAAATATGAATCTGATGTAAAAATTCATCATCTGGCCTGAATCAGCACCAGGATAGAGGCAGATGTGCAAACATGTAGCTAATAAAATGTACCCATCCACCCACCTACCTGTTGTGTAGCACATGTTTGACCTGAGAGGTTTGTTCTGTGTCCACGGGAGCTATTTTCCCCTCTATCTTGTGCTTTCTTCATATAGCTGTTGTAGTCACTGTGTGTGCATGAATGTGTTTGTATGCTATTGCCTGCAGCTAAGCTAAATGAGACTCCTGAGGTTTTACTCTTAAAGCCAGAGGCTTCCTGTTCACGCTCTGCATTTAAACCCGTGCGCAGATTCGCAGCAGATCAGTGTGGAGGCTGTTACAGCTGCTCAGCGGCTGAACCACAGGATGAGGAGGAGGACGAGGAGGAGGAGCAGGAGGACGATAATAATAATGACCAGGTATGATGAGGATAAGGATAATGGAGACAATGCGGATGATGGCTTTGAAGAGGATGAGGGGATAATTAGAAATTCTTTTCTAGAGCAATTGTTTGTTTAAACATTTACTTTAAGTGTTTCTCCTGCTTGTTGTTTCCAGGTCAGCAGAGGATGGAGAAACAAGCCCTCCCAGGTCAAGGAGGAGGAGGTTTGATTGATGAATAAAACACAAAAGCTTTGATTAGATTTCCCTACATTAAAGAAAGCTACTGCCTGACCTCTGACCTTCTTGTGCAAAGGCAGAGAAGTAAAAAGTCCTTACTGATGCAGGCTCCATGCCAGCCATAATGACCCAGAGGACAGTGAGAGACACAGTGATCGCCCAGCAGCCACATTCTTGGTGTTTTGCACCACAGACAGATGCTGCCGACGCCCGTCTGGAGGTCTGCTGTGCAGCGCTGGCAGTCCGAGCTGCACTCTGCGGAGATAACAGAGAGAATGATTTGTATTTTTTCATCTTCACAATGTAAACAGAAATGTACGCCATTATCAGCCACTCGTCAACGCCATGCTAAAACGTCTTTTCTTAAATCAAACGAGCTGATGTGCATCTGAAGCAAAGCAGGCGCCTCGCTGGTTTTTGTTTAAACGAAAAGCAAAAATAATCCAATCAATCACAACTGTTTCTGACTACGAACGGCTCACGAGCTCCAGTTTCTCTCCTTCTGTTCCCTTTGTCCCCTGGTTACCTATTCAGGCTTTTTTTCATTTCTCTAGTTTGTTGAGTTGATTAATTTATATCCATGTTTAAAAGTAGTAAAATTCCTGCATGGCTAAAACAATAAAATCGCAATTAAAACATAAAAAACAAGGAAAATATAAACAAATGATTTTTTTTTAAATCCAAAGAATAAAAATTGGTTTTCAAACAGGATTTTAAAATGTCTGTTGTTAGGCAGCAGTCCGCTCCACTTACTATCAGTGGTTACTTAAAAAATCAGATCTTTCTTTTGATGAAAACTTCAGGAGCATCTCCACAGTAATGACCTCAGTGATGTAGTTAAATACATGTTGAATTATGAGGACTTCCCATAATGCACTGCTCGTGTCGTCAGCGTTTATCTTCTCCCTCCTGTAGCTTGTGTTTTGCCCTGTCTGACATGCTTTTTATCTGACAGAACAAAGTTTGCTGAAGCGCCTGATTAACTGAGGATTTAAAGTTCTCTGCAGAAATGTTTCTACTCTGGTGACTTTTCACATAGATGTTCTATGCCACTGCATGTATATGTTCTTTTTCATGAGCAGTTATCTTTGTCTGACATATTTGATCATAAAACACAAAAATAGGCTGTAACAAAGCAACGGACAGACAATACAGCTGCATCTCGAAGTCTCTCCTCGTGTGCTCCTCGCCTCTCCCTCTCACACATCTTATGGAATAAACTAAGACAAATAGAAAAAGGAAAAGTAGGCAGTACAAGTCTGTAGGATTAGACGTGGCATCTACCCCAGTGTTTCATCCAGACCTCGATGATCTTCAGCTGCTTTATTCCAATTTCTATGTAACTCCCACCTCTACTGCTGCCAATTAAGCTCCCCGTGTCAAAAGTTTTAATCCAGCGTGCCTTTATGATTTCTAAACTTCATCTTTTACGCGGTCTGTCTGCCCGATCTCCGTCTGCCATGCACCGTCCAAACCTCCAACTGCCAGCTCGACAGTCTTTGCTTTTCAGTTCATTCAGACTCAACCCTTTATGTTCCAGTCCAGCTATCCCCACACTCCCCATTCACTGCAAAACTCTGTTTAATCAGCCTTCAGTTCCTCTATTTCTACTGAAAAAATAAAATCATTTTTAATAGAATAAGATGTGATGAGCTGGGTAAAGGGAGAAAGAGCCAGGGAGCTTATGCATTCACATTTAAGTTCTCCATTTACTTTGAAAACTTTTGGCTTTCTTTTCAGACTTTCTCAAACCTGCAAACTTTTAAGGGCTTTTAAATCCACTTAAAAGAAAATCTGATATAATGGAGATTCAAAAGGATGGATGACAATGGCCCCATTCAAAGCAGTCCCGTGTTATTCTGCGTTTACTTCCTCACACGATGGCAGCAGGTAGCGGCAAAGGAGGAAATTAACAGCAGAGGTATTTATTGCTGCTTCACCAACAGCTTGATTTGTATATTTAGTTTCTGACTTAACCACAAACTGTGGTCAAAGCAAGCTGACAGACTGAAAAGAGTTCCTCTCAGCTTGTTTACGTCCTTTCTTGCAGTAAGCAGTCAAAGATATTACCCAAGAAGCTGGAAAGACCTTCACTTAGTATAATAAAAGCTTACTTGTGGTAAGATGTATATTAAGATGAGGAAAAAGGAGAAACTACTGTTTGCAGCCTAATGACTCCCACTTTGATCCAAAATAAGACAGATGGTAACTCAGATGCTTCTTGCTTCAGAGCAACAGTAATCGATGCAGCATTACGGTGCCCGAGCATGTGGCAACAATACGTTTTGATAGCTCGAGCGCTTGTAAAACCACACAGTTTGTGTTTTTTTAGACAACTGCTGGTGTTTGGTGGAGAACACTTACTAAATATCAGCTCATGGCAAACAAAAGTACAATTGAGTTTGTTGCTAACATGCAAAAATTAAGCAGAAATAAGTAGGAAGGATTTTAAAAGCAAAGCATTTCTGACTAAAGATATAAAAGGAGAATAAATATGATTCCTTTATTGTTTTCCACACCTTTAAACTCCAAAACTGTGATCTCGTAAGATAAATGCCAGTGATAGGTGAAAAGAAGCTGCCCACACCCACAGACCCGTATATACCCTCAGAACTAAGTGCAGCAGGGTCTCCCAAAAGGCGCCAAGATTAACAGAACAATGAGCATCTGGTGGTGTTTTATCTGATGGTATCTGGGTTGTGTCTGGCTGACACAGCGGTGGGTACCTTAAAGTTATTTGTCTGTGATGAGATAACGATGTATAGTGGAAACATTGAGGCAGAGTGGGGAGTTATGTGATGGTGAGGACAGCAGTAAAAGAGGCGGACAAAGAAGTATCACTAACAATTTATCATTTTAATTCTGTTTGCAGATATTACAATTTGATGCGCCATAAAAAAAACATTAGGTGATCTTTAGTATTTGCACGACTAAGTACTACTATATTAAAGAAATGAACTTCTGCAAACCCAATTCCAGAAAAGTCAGGATGCTACATAAAATGTCTCAAAACAGAAGGATCGCAAATCTCATAAAGCCACATTATATTAACAGTAAAATCTCAGAGATACATCTCAAAGAAGTTGGGATGGACAAAACAAGTCAATGGAAAAGGAAGCAGCGCTATAAAATAACAGCTGGAGGAACATTTTGCTTCCAATAAAAGCATCTTAGACAGACTGAATTTCTCAGAGGAGGTTCACCAATCTGCAAAACAATGTGTCTACAAATTGTGGAACAATTTCAGAGTAATGTGAAAATGCAAAAACATTGAATATCTCATCATCTGCAGTACATGATGTGATCGAAAGAGTCAGAGTATCTGGAAAAATCTCTGTGTGGAAGGGACATGGATGACCGTGATCGTTGGCCCTGGAGCAGCATTGTGTTAAAAAACAGGCGTGTTTCTGTCACGCCATCAGTGTAAACACAGTTCACTGTGCCAAACACTGATGTCTTCTGTGGGCCAAAGCTCAGTTAAAATGGCCAGAAACTGTTCTGTAGTCAGGATCCAAATCTGACCTCATGTCCTCTGAACTAAAGAGAGGGACCATCCAACTTGTTATCAGCACTCACTTTGTAAGCCTGCGTCTCTGATGGTATGGGGGTGTATTAGCAGCACGCATATCTGGAGTGAATGGTGTATAAAGGTTTTAGAACATCATATATACACATATAACATCCAGTCAATGCTGTCTTCAGGGAAGGCCTTCCATATTTCAGCCTGACAATGCTAAACCGACATAGTTCCTCATTAGCATCATCTCTTTATGTTTATATTCTCAGATCCTCTGGGTTTTAGAGTAGCTGGTCCCTGCACATTGCTGTCAAGTCTCTGTGTTAGAAGTTTTCCTGTTTTGGGTTTCCTGCTTTATTTTGCTAGTCTCTTAGTTTTAGTTTCAGTGTCTTGTCATCAGTGATTTGTTCAGCTGAAGTCTGAAGAAATCACTTGGATGAGAGACGAAACGAAACTGAAAACGCTACGTCCAGATGAACAGAATCAACTATTTGGGATTTACTTACCTGGATGATTGAGCATGCATCAAGACTGCTCAGCTGTGTCTCATTTTCCCCAATGTCTGTGTTTACGCCTCGCTTTTCCTTTGGTCTTTGTTGCACTGTACTGTAGTCTTCTGTTGCTTTTCCAGCCTTTGTTTGTAATCACACTTGTGGATGCTTTGCTTTGGCATTTTCATGGACTTTGTGTAAAGGTTTGTTCTTACTCTTCTTTGATATCTGTCAGCTTAAACAAACAATATCTTTTCAATGTTCACGTGCGAATAAAATATGGGTTTGTGAAATTTTTGAACCATTACATTCTGTTTTTATAAAACATCACATTTTAGAGTAGAAACAGCAAAGTTAAGCTCTTTTATGCTTGTGAAAGAGTTTATAAGTGTTTCAATCTGCAGCAGCACAGATGGGAAAAACAGTAAAATATAAGTAAAAGCAAAACCACAAGCCCAGCGTGGGTGTGCGTACTCAACTGCGTAACTCAAAACTCCCAAGTTGCCTGATTGCGTCAAAAACTGCTTCTACTGGACGTGACCTCAATTTTAAACCAAGTAGGGGAAAAAAGCCTCTTCTGCCTCTTTTTCTATTCATGTGGCTAAAACAAGATTTTTTCCTTCCCCTGCAGGCATGTTTTATTTTACTCACAGTTTCCATGGTTTTCTAAACACACGTATTCATAGGCTTTTCTTTCTTTAGATTTCTGTTTTTCATCGATTTATTTTCTGTGCATGAACATAGTGCATGTTTGGATGTGTATTGTTTTGGGGTTTTTTTTATAAAGATGATACTGCCCTGTCAGTCAAGCCCTGAGGAAAAACGCAGTTTACCTTCAGTTTAAAATCAACACAAGTGAACTGATGGAAAACGCTGCGCCCTAATGAGTCACCAGATTTGCATTTCTCCTGCATATTTCCACACATTGCCCTGGATCTTTATTTCATTTGCATTTTGGTCATGTTCAGTGAGGTATATGCGATGCTGTTTGGAACTAAACAGCTAAAAAAAGAAATCAAAGATCTCAAGAGGAAGAAAAAGTGAGAAACTACAAAATAGGCGCCCACTTATGCTAATGCATTTCTAACCACGCTGGTTCGGTTGTTATTACACTGCTGCATTACAAGTGGGAGGATTTAAGTTATGTATTTTCACACATTAACATTATTTCTCGGAAAGCTTCATGTTTTAAACATACTAAACGAACGAATCTCTGGTTCAGTTTCATGATGAGGTTTTACACTGAG